GCACACGTGTGTGTGTGTGTGTGTGTGTGTGCGCGCCGCGGACACGAGTGCACACACACACACACACACACACACACTCTTTAGTAACGAGCGTAAGAGCGCTGAGAAATGAATTAATAAGAATGAAAGAATGAAAAGTGTGGCGTACGAGCAGAGTGACCGGAGTGTGTTGGTGTGTTCTGGCGATTAAATAAAGTCTGATTCTTGAATGTCTGAAGAGTTATTGGAATAGCACCACACTGAGAGTGAGGGTCAGAACAGAGGAAGTTATTCCCGTACGAAAAGCTTTTCTTTGGCCCTAGAGCGACACGCCCCCCTGCTCCCCTCAACCACGGTCCGGGGCTTATATGAAAGGTTTAACCCAAGCGGAGAAAGTGCAGGAGAGACGTGTGTGAAAATGCCCGTCACAACAGAAGACGTAATGTGACGCACAATATTGCGTCCCCACCACCCGCCACACTGACCCCCCTCATCTGGGCTTTACAGAGCGGGCCCTGGTCCAAGTCTTCAAGTGGGCTTGAGCACTCAAGACCACTTGCCGTGGTCACATACTGTGGCACCTAAAGCCCGAATCTAATCGCGAAGTGGGCCCTGGTCCACTTACACAGGGCTTTAGGCTGTGCATGTGACCGCAGCCTAAAGCTATAAATGGATGTTGAAATCGTTATGAAATAACTCCTAGAAGAAACTTTTCTTTGTGTAATAAATCCAAATGATACTTTCTATCATCACTATCTAATTTTATATGTTGGGGTTGTTTTGAACTGTTATTAGCCATTTGTTTGTCCCTTCTTTTAACCGTGAACACCTTTACTTCTGGTGCTACTCCTCAGTGACTCAAGGGCTTCAAACAAGGTGTTTGCAACACGAGGGAAGACCTCTCACTATCACCAGCAAAGAGTCATGGCATTTCAAGAGAAAGCACCATCAATCTCTGGATCAGAACAGTAAGTGGCAACATTTCCTTCTTGTGTTTCTATTTTTTTTTCCCCTTTAATGTTTTTCTTTAACCGGTGTGTGTGCTTTTGTGCATGTTTTTGTTTACCATAAAGAAAATACAGATAATATCAAATTTACAGTATAGACAAGGCACTTTTATTTGTATAGCACAGTTCATACTGTGGGTAACTAAAAGTGCTTAACAAAATCCATCCATCCATCGGGGGGGGGGGGGGGGGGGGTAATTTAGAGATGCCGCCCAAGTCACATAGCACCAGCCCCTCACTGATCCTCCTGCAGGTGGTGAGTCCACAGGAGGACGGCTGCTCTGTAAGTGTGAGCATAGCCTTGATCTTTCAGCGGGGGCTTCGGGTAAAGTGGGGTTAAATGTCTTGGCTTAACAAAATCAAGGCCTTTAATCTTAAATAATCACAGTACACAGCACAGATCCTTCTGCACGGCTCAGAACTGTTTTTATTCTGGATTTGAACCTTGTAGAGCAGTGTCTCCCAAAGTGGGGTCCGTGGCCCCCTGGTGGGCCGCGAGGGTACTGCAGGGGGGCCGCGGGAGGTCATAAAAAAAAATATATATATATATAATTATTTAATGTTAAATTTATAATGTTTTGTTTGTGCTATTAAAATATTTGTGTTCATTATTTGACTTGAATAATCCACTGTAATCATTTTTGTATTACAATGTTTGTAGCAGAGGCTATTTCCCCAAAATAAAATAACCAGAAGAGCCTATTCTTAATATTGTCTTCTTGGTTATTATTTTGGGGGGCCATGCAGACCCGTCAGATTTTTAAGGGGGCCTCGGTGTTACTGAGTTTGGGAATGGCTGTTGTAGAGGATGGGTGAGATGCATTGGCAAATATAGGCCAAACATATGCCCGTTGCATTCAACAAGCATATATAAGTCTCTATATAGAGTAGATCTTTATAGTGAGTTCAGACTGGCGTGCACATACAGGTCGGCCCCTGGAGTCACAATTACAGCAGTGTCAGAGCCGCCCCACTCATCTGAAGGTAATTACTGTCTCCCTCTCTTGTTACAGAGAAAGCTCTCCTCGCGACAATACACTGTTTTTGTTTAGGCTAGTCACAAGACCAAACCGTGTAAAAGTGCAATTATGGAATAAACACATGCATAGACAAAGTAGAATCATTATTTCAATCAATTCATGAAGCTATCTTTAGGGAATGGAAAATTGTATTGTTGAAGCATCTGCTCTGTAGATACGTGTAGCTGTGCCAGTAATCTAGCCTGGGCAAGTACATTGTCAAGTCTGAGATAATGCAATCTTTTGTACGTTTAGAGAAAATTACAGTTAAATATGTTATTGGTGGATGAAGCACTAAGTATGTATATCTAGATGTGAATGACAAAACAGACTCTAGTGTTTTTGGCTGGAACATCTCTCTCAGTTTGGTTTTCCTTTCCCCTTTCCTGCTTTTCTTTAGTTCAAGGATTTACATTCAACTTGGTAAGCTACAAGATGAGTCATACCTCGTAGCATTTTTCACACTGAATTGAATAACATCGACTAAAGCTGAAGATTTCAAAGACTCACAATTGCTGTTTCATGTTACTTCCCTCTTCGATCTTCCCGAAAGCAATCGTTTATTACAAATAGCATACATGAAGACCAAAGTTGACTTTAGCTTGTGTGGGTTGGTGCAAGAAATTGTAGATAATTTATTGAACATGATGGTCACTTCTCTGCTAGGCGTATGACAAATGCTATGATCTGGTTTGATAAGGGCAGTTCAAGCCCGAGAACACAGCCTTCCACGGAGCGACAGAAACATAATTGTCTTAAAATTAAACGTCCGTCTGTGTGTAATTGTAGCTTTATGTAGCATTATGCCATGACAACGGGCACAGCCAGCTAGGGAGTGGGACATTTTTATTTTCTTTACAAAAAAAGGCCAATGCTTTTTAGTGAAATTGCCATTTTATTAAGGACCCATGTCCAAAAACACTTGTGGGCATTGGTCATCTGCCCCTTATACCAATGTACTGTATTTTCTGCTGTATTACTTGTGTTTGAATGATTTGATTCTCTGATCCGTGTTGGTGAATTCAACGGTTGTGTAAAGTCCTCAGAGATAACTACTGTTAAAATAAATGCTCTGCTTTACCATGTGCAATTTCCACTGATACCTAAAATAACCGGTATTCATGCTTCAAAAGCGTCATTGATCGATGGTACAGTATATGCTGCAGGTTTGACACATGTTGAAGTGTGCACAAAGACTTCGACATGTCACTCTTATGGGTGTTTTCTGGAAGCCATACGCCGAGGGACAGCTTAGGAATGCATCAACAGCTGTTTGTAATAGCTGTTGAACTCAAACACGTTCACCACATGTCATGAGACAGCTTCATTGCTGACAATCCAATAGAGCTGTCTGTTCATGGACAAAATAAGATAGGCCCTTCTATTGAATCTGTGAAGGAGCAGATTTGAATCAATGGCTTACCTTATCTACAGCCTGGCATCAGCTAAAGGTGTAGGTTTAGAGTTACATTTAGGCTATATATCCACACGAAGACAAAACGCTTATAATTTCAGAAACTTTTTCTGTAAACACGGAGTTAGCTCAGTAAATGTGTGCGTCCATATGAATGTAGTCAATACGCCTGAAAACGCTGTGAAACTATGCCAGACCTGTTGGTGGCGCTGTGACGCAATGACGGGATCAAGCCCAAACTTCCGTGGGCATGCGCGGAATTTTGTAAACAGACAACATGGCGAGTGGGCGAGCTGGTACTACATTAGTATGGACGGACGATGAGGTTGAACTGTTGCTTCGGGTCGCACTGGATTACAAAACCAACAAGCTACATTGTTGTTGTCATTATTTTCTGAGTGCGGCGCATGCGTGCTTTAACAAGAGGCGGGCGATGACGCAAGCGTCTCAGATACATTGCGGAGAGGCAGTAACCACGGAGCGGCATATACAGAGTTTTGAAATCTTTCCACTCTGGGACCTAGTTTCAAAAATGTTCGTTTACACCCCCCAAAACGGCCGGCCTCGTATGGACGATACACTGGATTGATAAAGTATTTTTGCGTTTAGGCCTGAGCTTGACTTCGTGTGGACAGGGCCTTAGTGTACCTCTGGATTAAGTTTGTTATTCATCTAATGTCATAAAAACTGTTTGTTCTACTAAACACACAGCCATCACACCACAGCAAATGGAATTCCAAAGTACTAACAAGAATCTGAGATAATGGGTTTGGTCAAGGAGGTCTAAATGTATGACACCATTGTCAATGGTGCTTATTAGCATACTTAAAGTTTTCCACCTTACAGTAATAATTCTAGTTCATTCTGTTCCTCTTGAACCATGCACAGTATAAATACTGGTGATATCTCCATGATGCTTTGTGCGATGCAAGCGTACTAATTCTGACCGAGCAGCACATATTAATTGGGCAAGAGTTTGTTGTACAAAAGTGTGGATTTTAACACAAAAGCTGACCTTTGTGAAAGCTGTAAGTTCCCTTTTAGCTATGGTTGAGCTGTTATTGTTAACATTACTGTTTATGGAAACAGTTCTTGTGTAGCCCATGAACATTTAGGCTGCAGTACATCATTTACTGAAGTAGGGCTTAAACTAACTATCCTACACATTTATATAAAGGGTGGTCCAACCTAACAACTGCCTGGGAAAGTGTTTAGGAATACTATAACTGCAGTATATGTTGTTGTATTTTTAGTATTAGAGAGATTAGTGGTTGTGATGGGATTGATGACCTAAAACTTTTAATATGATTGTGTAGAAAAATAATCCAGTTACAAAAAACCACGAGAGGATTATGGATTTCTACAACAGCAGACCAATTGCCTTTATGCATTCTATGTCAAAGGAAAAGATGGATGATTTAGTCTCTCAAGGCACAAAATGATCAATGCAATAAAGTGAAGTCAGATCATTATTTGAGCAGAATCCATTGAACTAACAAGACGAGTTGATTGGACAAAAATACTGAATTGAATATTACCAATGTTACTGATACATTACCATATTTTGGTCCTGAGCCTACGATGAGCACATGGAACAGGTGACCTTGTTAGCCTGTGCCCTGTGCTCATCGCGCTGTACATTGCACACATCCCTGGGCTCGGTGCTTTTGCCGAGGTTGGAGAGTAAACAGACAGGACGAGTGTGGGGCCACTTCACTTGTGCTGTTCACCTCCACTTGTCTCTGCAGCTCTGACAGCAGGATTAGGGGACAAACACTCACTGTGGAATCTCACACTGCAAAGATGAACCTATTCTTCCCCATTAGCAACTGAGGATTCTGTCAGACATGTTTTTGTTGAAATTGTGAAGTATGAACAGTCCTGCATATCTAATGTATACTTTATTAATTTTTAAGTTTGTTTTTTTAGGTTTTATGGAAGCAAATATTTCACTATTCCACCATTAAAGGAGCAAAGTGGTTTTTTTTGTTTCTTTCTTGGTGGATAGCCATAAAAGCAAATATATATTCTTCTTCAATAAGATACATTCATTTAATGACCGCCGTATACAGCAGAAGTGTCTGGTTCTGATCAATCTATTACATTACATGTCAACTGTATGCTGTACACTAAGCGCAGCCAGGGGCCGGAAGGGGTCCGGTTCGGAGACCACAGGATTCCGTCTCTGCTGTTTGCGGATGATGTTGTCCTGTTGGCTCCAACGAACCAGGACCTGCAGCATGCACTGGGACGGTTTTCAGCCGAGTGTGAAGCGGCTGGGACGAGAATCAGCACCTCCAAATCCATGGCCATGGTGCTAGACCAGAAAAAGGTGCCTTGCCCTCTTCAGGTGGGTGGAGAGGTTCTTCCTCAAGTGGAGGAGTTCAAGTATCTCAGGGTCTTGTTCACGAGTGAGGGAAGGATGGAGCGTGAGATTGACAGGCGGATCGGTGCAGCGTGCGCAGTGATGCGGTCGCTGTATCGGACCGTCGTGGTGAAGAGGGAGCTGAGCCGAAAGGCAAAGCTCTCGATTTACCGGTCAATCTTCGTTCCCTCCCTCACCTATGGTCATGAGCTTTGGGTAATGACCGAAAGAACGAGATCGCGGATACAAGCGGTTGAAATGAGCTTCCTCCGCAGAGTGGCTGGGCGCTCCCTTAGAGATAGGGTGAGGAGCTCAGTCACACGGGAGGAGCTCGGAGTAGAGCCGCTGCTTCTCCACGTCGAGAGGAACCAGTTGAGGTGGCTCGGGCATCTGTTCCGGATGCCTCCTGGACGCCTCCCTGGGGAGGTGTTTTCACTATAGACTACATATACAGCAAATAGACAATGCAAAACCCCAGCTCAATGAAGCCTAAAAGGAAAGTGCTTGTTGGCAAGTTCTTCCCCATTAGCAACAGAGGATTTTATCCGACATGTTTTTTGTTGAAATTGTGTTGTATACGCAGTCCTAGATATCTTATTTATACTTTATAAATTTTGAAGTTTGTTTTTTTAGGTTTTATGAAAGCAAATATTTCACTATTCCACCATTAAAGGAGCAGCATGTAACAATCTGGCCAAAAGTGGTACTGCAACGTCTTGCACTCTCCCTGACTCGGGTTGCCAGATATGCAGACAGATCCAGCTGGGACCATAATATATGAATAGACAAGTTTTGTCACAAATATATAACCAACACCCTTTTCACAAAGGCCCGATAGAAATCTTTCTTGTATTCCTTGTTTTGTCGTTAATGATTTGAGAATCATAACAAAATACCTTTTTTAGTTCTGCCGGCATGTGTTACTTTACCAGTGAGATTAGTTCGACACTGAGTTCTGGCAACCTAGATCACGGACTTTCTGATTGGTAAAACGGTGGAGGGCGGGACATCAAAATGAAAACAATAACAAGATTTACGGGTTTTAAAGCTGATTTTGAAATCCAAATATCTCGGCTGAACTACTGCTATCAGTTAAAGAAGTATTTCAAAAGAGCATGATTCATCCATGCCTTTTGACAGATTAGGGCCATTTAAGGATGACTTGACATGAAAATCTTACATATTGCTACTTTAAGTATCATGCATATGTGCCTTGTCCCATCTATGACGACATGAATACAGCATATATGACAGATAGCATTTAAATTCACAAGCAATCAACATTTAAACTCTGGATTAAGTGTGCAGGCTCTCTCCTCACGAGTAACCAAACTCTAGTGTAGTTTAAGACCAGATGGAACTAAAAAACTGAACCTGAATCTTTTAAATCAAACATTATTCAAAGAACACCCAACACAAACGCAAACCATTTCTCCTTGTACATAATTTAACTTCTGGGGTCAAGGTTCCGGACGGAGGAGGATGGAGGATTCTTTCTTTGGGTTCCTCGGCTCTGAAATGACCTGTCCAAGGAGATGAAGAACAGTAACTTCTTTTAAATTACTTCTTTAAACCCACTTTTATCGAATGGCTTTCCTCCAACTGTCTGTTTAGATTCTTACATGTTGTATTTCATTGTTCCACATGCCCTTGTCTTTG